CACACGATCTGCCGAGGCAAGCAAAAACGAAGGGGAAAGACAAGCAGCACCGTTATCGGGGGCATGTCTTGCCTCTGCTCCCTTGCCTGGTCGGTTTCGTCATCGCGAGAGGCGAAGCATTCCCATTGACGGTGAAGTACGTACATGTGAGCTGTTCGGCTCCGGGTTATCGCTGAGACAAGCTGGGCAAGTGAGCGAGAGACAAGACAACACGAGACCTTGTTCAAAATAGCAACATGGAAAACTTGAGAGACAGCAAAACAAACAGAAAAACAAAGAAAAAAAAAAAACAGTCATGGATGGCATGTGGCAGTTTGCCCGTCCCCGATGCACGTCTTACCCCTCTGATAGTTGTATAGTAGCATCGGCTGAAGCAAAGTTCCCTCACCAAATCATCATCACAAGCATCCCAGGATTCGGGGGTCCTGGCGCGCACTGATGTTTTCCCGCTTCCGCTTCCTAGCTTGGGCGGCTAACGGTCTGGGTAAGATAAGTCCTTGCATGCACGGGAGTTTTGCATGGAAACATGCACATGTATGCAATTTATGAGAAGGGGAAATTTGGAAATGCACGGCCAGTCGGTTCCAATGGGAGGCGAATCACACATCACGAATTGGGCAAAACAGAGAACAGGCATCATGAGTAAGATCTGGGATCATGGTAGAGTAGCGGAAGCGCCGTCCGGACGGGACTTTGGCCGTGATTTGAGGGTTCAACGTTGTAGTAGTATCAATCCCGTCACTGATCCAATGCTACTGCACCATCCCGCGCTCAGACTAGAAGGCATTGAGGTACTAATAAGCTGGACCAACTCCCGGGCCGTAAGAATCCCATTCAATGCCACTGAGGGTTTGATGAGATGCCCAATTTTCATCACATTCACTCATCCAGTAGCGACCAATGCGAGCGCGCGGCTCTGATAAGGACCGCATTATTGGCTGGCGCTATTGCCTACACTCGACTGTGCTTTTGATTTCACATGAAGCGCGCCAGAACTTGTGTGTCGTGGTAGTTCCTGGAACGGGCTGTTTCTCACTGCCGGAGGTCATTGCCGCATTGATCGCCTTACACCGGCAGCAGCGACAAGAAGCGAACGAACAAACAAACGCCAGCTGGCAGAAGAAGCACGAGTAAGTATCGTACATCGTACCGGGACCGAACCAATAATGCAGGTGGTTGGGCGAAAACGGTTGGTAGGTAGAGGCAAAGAACCCTCGTTCGTACGGAATACTCCGTATCATGCCAAACTTGCCGTCGAAAAGGCGAGGCATCTCCGTTTTTACCGCCACGTCGTCTGCGAACCACATTGGAGTTGGCGGTGACGACAAGTTCTCTTTCTCTCTCTCTCTCTTTTCTTTTTCTTGCTAGCCGGCCCTTCGCAGCATGTGCTCCGTGCAGAGAGGAAACAGAAACCGCCTAGAACACTCGAGTTGCAGAGCAAGACCCCGTGCGGAATCCCAGCTCCGTCGATGGCGTCCCCACGGGGGTACGCAAGAATGCAGAGGGAGATTGCGGTAAATGCAGGTACCTGCCTTAGTCGCCCTCTGGGCCCCCACTGCGCGAAACTGAAGTACTGTAGTACCGCCGTGCGGCAAAGCGGGTACGAAAGGGACACGAGAAGGAACATTGAAGAGAGAGAGAACAAAGGTTGAGGCTAATAGCACGGGTGAATCAATCAATGAGAAGATGTCATCGTCGCGAAACTTTGCTAGCACTTGCTTGTCCTGACTAATCTTCTTCTTCTTCTTCTTCTTCTTATTCTCTTCTCTTCAATGCCTTCTCCTCGTGCGAGTGCCCTGTAGTAGGTACTCTGTACACAGACACAGTCGAGGCTCCGTCCTCCCCTGCTAGCCCAGCCGGCGGGACTTGGCGGAGACGGCGTTCCCTTGCGGAAATGCCTTGAGACGGTGACTTTGGACGAACAAGCTGAGGCTAGCGAGACACCGGACCGAACGACTTGCTGTTGTTGATGTTGACATTGTTTGCAAAGTACAAATGGAGGGGTAGGGAGTACTTAGGGTCTGTTGTTGTCTGTTTGCCTTTGGCACCCCTTGGCGATATAATTACTACCAAAACCCCCAACCCAGCTTAACAGTTCCAGTTGCGGTCTAGGTACTACCTTACCTGGCAGTGCAAACAAAGCACTGCAGACGGCAGCATAAAGAATGCTCGTGTACTTGGCACACGCTAGGCGGTGTCTTGAACATGTAGTGTAAAAAGCGCTGCCAGGAAGATGCCTGCTCGTTGCGTGTTGGCAGGTTCCGTTCCGTTTTAGCACAGGGGGGGCCGCTAGATAACGCAAATCCACGATGAGTGCCGACGTGCGACGGCTAGTACGAGTCCAGTCCTCAATTATCAACAATGGACTGAAGAGAAAAAAAGAGAGACAAGACTGCTGCTGCTGCTGCTGCTGCTGCTGCTGTTCATGAGCGTATTTGCAAGTATGATGCCCGTGCCACATGTCAAACCCCCCGGCTGCTTCTTCATCAATTGGCCCGAACCGATGGCCGTCATACTTGGTCAATAGCTCCTCCTGCAATAGGTAGGTAGCTTCTCAGCTTGTTCCCAGATGGAGCTCGGTCAGCAGCTTCATCAAGCAACTGGATGATTAGCAGCCGTAATTTCAGGTGAGGTGGCCAAAAGCCGTAACAAAGCCTTGCCGCTCCCACAAAACCTAATGCTCAACTTTACTTGCAATATCCGCCTCTAGCACCGCCGGCTACGACCCATTACGGGCCACCCACCGCCACCAAAAGACCTCATACAATGGAAACGGTCCTGAACTCAATTCGTTAGCCCGGACGAAATGCCCCAGAACCGTTGCTCATCATCTTGTCGTTTCCACACACCCAAACACCTTCCCTGTGGTTGTGATTATCTAAGGCGCTTCTCCTCGGCGCCGGTGCTTCTTGGCTGAAACCTCTGGCTTTTCTCGTTATTCTGTAGCCTAGAATCTTGTCGACCTGAACCCGACCTGCCTGACCTATTCGCTGCTCCCCTTTGGCTGAGGCATTTTCCCCTGCCACTTTCTCGCTTCGTCCTTTGCCATGATGACAACAACGCTGGCCTGCTCCCTTTACCACCGTACCTAGGCCTCGTCGAGCTCTAGCGGGCTCGCGGCGGTCAGCGAGCGCCCCCCCCCCCAAAGGAACCCAAGCACGGACGGGGGCCCTTTTCGCGAACTGCACCTGGTTGATGATCTGTGGGCATCTTTGTCGCTGGAGCCAAGCCCCTTGGTTGCTTGGGGGGGCCCAGGCCTTTGTTGACGTTGCTGCTCTGCGGCTTGTTCTCTCGCCTTGTCGATTTTCGGCTGTGATATACGATAACGGCACGGTAGACAGAAGGGTTTTGACATCCCATTATCCAGTTTTTCTTCCTTCTCATTGGTAGAGGTCCGCTTGTTCTCGTCACAGCGGCATCGCGCTGTTTGTGTGCACCGGCCGTCCATTGAGATGCCGCCCCTGATGGAATTACCTCGGTGCAGGAGCAGCAGGACTCTGCCGCAATCGCAGAGCAACATGCAATCAATGTACGTACATGAGTCGACGTCAATGGGACATGCGCGGGATGGGCAGGATTCAATGCCGAGTGCGGTGAGATCCAAACGGACACGCATTCAAGCTTCGCAGGCGCAGCGCAGGCGGGCGGGCCAATCCAGCCCAAGCTGCCACCGACATTTTGCATTTTGCATGTACTTCAACTCGTACGGTTAGTGCTGTAGGTACATCATCAGCGTTGCCTTTCGTGCCGAGCGCCGTACGAGTACGTACGAGCACAAACACAGCACTCGTGAGCCCGCTTCTCCATTCCGGTAGCGAAGAGGTGCCAGAGAGAGAAGGCCCGCCGCCTTCGTATGGGAAGCATCCGAGCTGGAGATGTAAGGTACATACATACCTACCTACATACAGTAAGGTACATGTAATCGCTGAGAGAGCGAGAGAGCGCCAGGGGCAGTGGGCCAAGGTTCGAAGAGAGAGAGAGAGAGCTGGTCGTTCGCTCGCTTGCTTGCTTTGCTCGGCGTCTCTCGCTGGCGTGCTTTTGCCAAGCCCTTCCAGGCGTCGCCTCGCGCACAGCAGAATCTCGCTCTCCGGAGTGTAATTGCGTAAAGTTACTTTCGTTTCTTCTTTGCTTTCAGCGTTCCATCTCAGCACCTGGCAGAACCCTTCCATCACTGCTGCAGACGGGCAAGGTATGTACCTTCTCTGTGTGCTTGCGCAGACAGGGTACCGCACAGGTTATTACAGGGGGCCCAAGCAAAGGCGGGCAAAAAAAAGCTGGCAGCAGGGAACAGCACCCTGACGAAGAGACGAAGGCCGCAGGGATGGCGGCGGTACGTACCGCGCTAGCGGCCACACCGTGCGCGCCTCGCGGCTGCTCGTACGGCCGACGGCTGCGCGCCTTGTACTCCAGGGTACTGGGGGCGTCTCCACGGTCCGGGCCAGGGTGCAGGCACAGGCACCACTTTCGCCCTAGCACGGCCATGGCGCGCCCCAGTTCGTCGTGCCTGGGCCACCTGTACTGCAGTTGTACCTACGGTACGCAGGGCCTTGAGCAGCGCAGCGCAGCGCAGAACTGACTGCCCTCGCCAAGCACAGCAGCCAGAGCCGGTGACTGCCAGTAGGTGAGTGAGTCGTGCGTGCGTGCTTCCTTCCTCCCCGTCCTCGTCCATTGAAATACCTGCTCTCGCCCCGACCTCGACTACGCTTTCTCTTTCCCTTTCTTCTCTTCACCCACGAGGCGTTGAGTTAAAGTGTTCCCCCAAGCCTCTCTTCGTGCGGTGTAAATCCCCAAACACTTTTTCTTCTCTCTTCCTTATAATCCTCGTCTCCCTACTATTTCCCCATAATAATAATTCCTCGCCCTTTCAGTTCACCTACAGCTCAACTGAAGGAATCACGCGGCATCTCTACCTACAACCCTTTCCGCTTCCTACTTTCAATTCATCCCTCATAATCAGCAACGCCCACCGCCTTTCCATCACAAAGGAGCACCCGTCTCAGACTACTTCGCCATGGCGGACGATAAAGCCGTCGGCGCACCCGCGCTCGACACAAATATCGAATCGGGCAACTTCGACGAGAAGCGCGCTCAGGCTCCCGCGGGTGTCCCTCCCAAGAAGGCCCCTGCTGAGGAGGAGGATGAGGACGAGGACATTGATGCCCTGATCGAGGATCTCGAGTCCGAGGATGGCCACGCCTTTGATGAGGACGAGGAGGAGACCAACCCCGCCACTGGACGTGTCGTCCCCGAGGACATGCTCCAGACGGACAGCCGTCTCGGTCTGACCGAGGCTGAGGTCCTCGCCCGCCGTCGCAAGTACGGTCTCAACCAGATGAAGGAGGAGAAGGAGAACCTGGTTCTCAAGTTCCTGGGCTTCTTCATTGGTCCCATTCAGTTCGTCATGGAGGTGAGTTTGATCCATTTGCTTGTTTATTGACATTTTCCATCCGACCATTCTTTCTCTCCCTTCACCATCTCATTCGCCATGCGATCGATTGCCATCCGTTGGCCCATGATTTCATCTTCATGGCCAGCGAATGCAGCGAAAAACGCCCTGCGACTTATCATGAGCACCGCAACACAATCAATCTCCTGCACTGCACCCGCGTTCCCCCGACGCGACCAGCACTTTTGCTCTCTCTTGCTCGTCCCTCCAACTTGCCTTGTTTTTTCGCTTTTCCGCGCTTGGCTTGGCTGGATTGGCGGCTCCACACGAGCTTCGCCCCGGCTGCGCGCTGATTGGCTCGATTGGGCTGGCTGGGCTGATCGGCACCTTGGTTCCCTTGGGTCGAGAAATTGGGCCGGTCCACTCAATAAGATGTCACAAGCGCTCCACTCCGCCAGCCAGCGGCCGTCGATCGCCGAATATGCCCTGAAATCGCTGTTTATCTTTGTGCTGGATCGCAATGCTGACATTCTCTCGCTTTCTAGGCTGCTGCCGTTCTGGCTGCCGGTCTCCAGGACTGGGTCGATTTCGGTGTCATCTGCGGTCTTCTTATGCTCAACGCCTGTGTTGGTTTCATCCAGGAGTTCCAGGCTGGTTCCATCGTCGAGGAGCTGAAGAAGACGCTCGCTCTCAAGGCTGTTGTCCTCCGTGACGGTACCCTCA